TTAAGGCGCACCTCCAAATTTTACTTTAAATTTTAGGTGTAAAAAATTACTTAGGATTATCTCAAAATCTATTTTCATATCTAATTATAAAATTTTAAACTCCAAAAATGGTTAAAATCTAACAGATCTGTAAATATATGAAAATCTTGAAAATGGATGGTCTAGATAATGTATTGCAAGATGCACTATTTCTGGGACTCAAAATCTTTTTTTTCTTTCATAGTCATACATCTCAACTTTGAGATGATCAATTAGAGGGTTTTACAACATTAAAACAACTTTTTCTTATGGACTTTTTATGTGCATCTGTAATTCTATAGAATGAACAAGGACAATTTTGTCATTAGAGAGGGTATTGTTGATATTTTCACGAAAAGACAAGGAAATTATGAAGTAAAGTTCCAAGTACTTTATTATACAAATGCCCTTTTATTTTGGTGATTTCATTATATTGCAATGACATGGTGACATAAAATCACTCCCCATATGTGTGTGTCATATTGTCTCTTTAACTTGTTCTGTCTCTACGTCCATCTGTTGAGTATAATGCCAATTATGAGATATTTTGATAAAAATAAAATAGATACTTGCCTAGACATGTCTCAAACTTATTCTCGGCCTCTATTATCTATCTGTTGCAGGTTGCACATGCCCAAAGTGAGCAAGCAAGCAACATGCGGCAGTGCCTCCTAAATGGTGGGGTCCCCGTCCCCACCCAAGCGCGTGCCACATCGACCCCCACCAATCAACCAACAAGCCTCACCTATCTGTCACCATCAACAACCACCCAAAAAACTCCATCTGAGGTAGCAGCTGAGGTCGCAGCCAAGCTTGCAGCCTCAACCTCTTCAGCTCAGATGCTCTCCTCTGTCCTCTCCTCCTTTGCGGCTGAAGAAGCAGCTTCTTCTCAACCCCCAGAGAAGCGAACAAAGCTTGATAAACCAATGCCAGTTCCTGATAGCACAGGGGGCACCGCATATTTCACAATACAAGTACCTGTTATCCAAGGCCAAACACCTCCTCCCCAACAACCACAACATCAACAACAACAGCAACAACAACATTATGTTCAAGCACCAATGGTTCCTTATGCTTATGCGACAAATTTGCCTCCACCTCCTCCACCTCCATTGCCGACTCATATGGTTGGAATGGTTAGGCCTGCACCACCGGGTCCACCTGGCTCAGCCATGATGCATCAGCATCCGCGTCAGCCTCACATGATTGGGTACTATGGCCATATCCTGTCTCAACCCAATGGTGGGATTGCTCCTCGATAACTATGATGCGAGTTCATGGATTTGAACACGGGTTTGGTGAGCTTGAATTTTTTCTATGGCCTGTAGTTTGTGCCTTCTGCCCTTATTCTTGGAATTTGAGATGGGGGTGTGAATTTAGGTCATGTTGTATTATGTTGAATGATGTGGGACAATTTATGGGGAAGAATGTGAAATATCTTTTTTCTTTTGAGAATTTTTTAAATTTTATGATAACATGTGGGTCGTGGCTGAGTTATCAGGGGTGCCTTGGGATTGGAGGGGAAGTCTGGCATTTCAGTGAAGGTCGATGCGTTTTCATTCTTGAATACACGGGGATAATGGGTCAGTTTTTGAGTTTTAGGATTAAGATATTGTTATTACTTTTTCTTTACAGGTCTAGTCTAAACCATGGCAAAGCCATTTGCGCTTCTGAGAAATTGGGCAGGAAGCTCTAAAAATGGTTCAAATCCGACCGAAGTTGGGTCCATTGAATTGGAGAGTACAGATTGCATGTTAAGATGGCGATCAAATGACGTACTTTTAGGGCTTCAATTTCATTTTTTCTCCAGGACAAGCTTTGCAGATTTTTGAGGTCGCAATAATATGATATATGGAAAAATAAAGGCTTATCATATATTTTTGGGCTGAGGCCCCAAGCTCACCATTTAATCATTCTTTTCGTTTAAGCATACGATTTCAATCAAAATGTAAAGAACACTTTTCCACAATTTCCATGTAAAATAAATACTATCTCGCCACATCATCATTATCATCCAATCCTTATACCAGCTGTTATCCAATCTTAATATCAGCTGTTTATGGTGCGTTACACAAAATCCATTCTACTCTATTAAGAGGCATGCCGTTGGTCAGACTAAATAAAACTATCTCATTAAAGATGAAAAAGAGGTGCTACTGGCCACTACCATTAATATTGGTTGTTGAGATTAGCACTTCCCTTGTCATGGAAGTTCAATGGTACAACTAAAATTTGAGATGTATTGAAATTGCATTTCAAGCCTAAACTTAGTTCCTGTAATGTACGACTACGAAAGTAAGTGGCTTTAAAACAGGGATTCTATTATTATATTAAGTGGCTTTATATGAATTATTTGTTGGTCGAGTGTTTCTCAAAAAAAAATTTCTGAGATGAACTTACAAACAAATTTGTATATAAGTTTTATCTTTTTGAAAAGAAGTTTTTACTTTACCCAAAGTAATTTGCTAAAAATTATATTTTTTAGCCCGAAATAATTAAAAATAGAAGGTTAAATAATTAAAGAAATCTTTTTATAAAGAGCTGTGGCTCTAAACAATCAAATTAGAGTGCACCTCAAAAATTTCATTAGAACAGATTGTTTTGACGCCCAAATATCCTCAAATTGATCATCTCGACATCAAGATGCATGGAAATGAGAAAAAAGTGGATTTCGAGTTTTGGAAATAGTGTATCTTTTAATGCACTTTTTGACCGTCAATTTTTAAGATTTTCAAATTTTCATAGATGTGCTCGATCTACACTATTTTTTTAAGCATAAAATTTTATAATTACAGATAAAAATATATTTTAAGGGTATCACAAAGATTTCCAGCATTGAAACCACATTTCTCCATACTATTTGAAAATGCGTTTTACTTTGATTGTTTAGAGCTTCGGCCCTGTACAAATCGCACCCATAATTATTATGGACCGAATACGTAGCTGACAAAATAATATTACGCTTAGTATATTAACCTTAAATGAAGTAGTCTACTCCTACAGACAATTAAATATATTAGTTTTGATGGAGCTTCTTCCCTTTGTAATCTTCTGATGTGGAGATTCAAATCAAACTGAAATAGAGAGCCTCTATAAGCAATTCCCACCATAAATACTTTTAGAGGCCTAACAATCCTATTATGATGTCCACCTTTGAGCCTTGGGAATAAATTTTCTTCGGGATTATATACTTATAAAACCAACACTTTTAGTACAAGGAGCTCACAATAATCCAACAGCTTGAGGTATATCACAGAGTTAAAAAAAAATTATTTTGGAATTTATACTGCATCAATTACACGCCCCGATTCATCCAATTTCACATCTAACAATCAATTATGATTGTGAGTACCTTATACTAAAAGCAAATGGTATGGTCTTGCAGTATATATTTCCAATTTCCTTGTAGTTAAGGTGGTGTTCCCCAATTTTGAGAATATAACATTGCTTAATGGCCAGAGGCAGTTCCGGGGTCTCGTAGATAGCGGTTGCCAAAACATAAAGTTCCAATATGGCTTCTTCAAAACGTCCGAACATGGCCAAAGAGCGCACGTAGTGAAAAAAATGATAGTGGCCAGTTACAGTAGGTTATCATGAAGGGAATTCCTATCTTTTTTCACTACCTCACATGTAGCCCCAACAGAGAAAAAATATGACATCAGCCATTACAGAAGTTGCAAACGGCATTTCTTTTTCCACTATCCCATGTAGAACCTGTATAGGATCTCTCGATCTCTGTCGAATTCACAGTGCCCAATCATAGACTCACTCACTCTCCATACCCGTTTGCTGTCTCATGGACCCATATGCCCATATGCAAATACACAACACAAATGCTTCTAAGAGACTGCATAACCAATCTCAACTCTTACCACCAAAAATAGAACTCCAAAAAACTCACGTTTACTCATTAATACCAAAAAAAGAAATCCAAAAAACTCATGTTTAAAAATGTTTGGGGAAAATAAATTCATGACGATTATATGAAATGAGCTACATTTCCAACCAAGTGGACCAACAACATCTACTGTCTTTCTTCAATATTCTGTTACAACTTAAACCATCAGGAGGCATGGTATGAGACAAGTAACAACAGGCAGGTTACCCCTTACCACAATTGCATCATCCATGAGACATGGTATTTCATGTTTGTCCATTCAAGAAAACATGTAAACAAGGTGACTTATGTTTGTCCATTGAAGAAACATGTGAATCGAATTGGTTCAGCTACCATTTGTGAGATTTACATTTTGCCCTGAGATTGCTGATAGCCCCTTCTAGTCGTCAATCGGAATCTGAGTCATAAACTGCAGAGGATCTAACTGTTCTTCGGTTGCTTTTCACTTCTTCATCTTCATCTTTGTCTTCCTTATTTTCCTCTATTATCCCTAAATAAAAATGTGAGCCATCGGTGAGTTGAAGAGAGAAATAAATAAGAAACGAGCAGCTCAAAGTTATATACTAGTTCATGCATCAAACGAATAAGCAAACTCCAATAAGTACCTTTCTTTATAAGAAGATTTTCAAGAGCTTTTGTTGTGAAATCATCTTTACCACCCAAATCTTGAAAACCGACCAGCCTATCTACAGCAATGCCCTTTCTGAGAGGTAAGAAAAGCATATGATTTAGTCCTGAATTCATGATGATTCAAGAGGCTTGAGAAAATACTAAATTCGGTGCTAATCAGCACTATTTTAAAACCAAATCACAATCTAAGGCCTAACACAAACCCAGTGCAGAGAATTGACAGGCAGGCACCAAACATGCCAGCTTTATTAAAATAAGAGGCATTGTACAGAGACAACTAGCACAATAACAAAACCCACCATCAAAGTCCACCTAAAATTTAGAGCTGCAGCCAAACTATCCAAAACTCATATTTCCTTCTGAAGCATAAATAGCATAGAAAGATTAAAAACAAAATGATACATAAGAAGAATACAAAGATTACAGAAAATATGGACATGAATCATGGAGGGTAATGGACTAAAAGCAAGAGAAAATCAGAAAAATAATCTCTCACCTAAACAATATGACACAAGGCAGAGTTCTAACTGCCAGTTTGTTAACAAAGAAGGGAGCATTCTGCACAGATAAAATGCAGCAGTAAGTTTCCCAGGGGAGGGAGAGAAAACCATTAAGAAGGTTTAGATAACTAGCCTCTGCATCAAGCTTGATGAACTTAGTATCAACATGCCTTGGAGCAAGTGACTTCAAATGTTTATCTACTATCCTACACGAGGTCATATAAGAAAGACCGGTCAAGATTGGACAAGTAATTACCTTCTAACCCGTTCGTGAAAAGGGAGAAGAAGATAAGCCATAATGGGCGGTGAAATAAAGGACACCCTCTTACTTGCAACGGTAAAACTCCTTATGGTAGAAGTGACAAATTACTTTCTCGCTTCCAGTAACTTCACCCAAAAAATCCCCTTCTGTTACCTCTCGACATTCTCCATGACCCTTCCTTTGTAGGGCTTCTCGCTTCTCAGCTTCTTTCTGTAGAAAGCTTTCTGTTTTTTAACAAGTTGTGTATCTAGGAAAGAAAGTCCCGATATTTATGTCTTCATATCTTCATATGTGAAGGCTTATAAGTGCATAAAACATGAGTAATACAAACATTAGTTGAGGAGAATGAGAAAATAAATTGAACCTTGAGTGCTGCAATCCTGTCAGCATGTAACCTCTCCAGCTCGGGATCCTGAGATTTTAGATCAGTTTGTAAATGCTTTCTTTTGTTTACGAATCATAAAATGATTAAGGTATTCCTCCATAAATTTAACTCACGTCCATTAGTTCGTCCAAATCAACCTCTTGATCAGCCGCACTAGAAGCCTGGGGCTTCTGCTGAGCAAGCAATTCCTGTAAAGGCAAACAAATTGTAACATAAGATGCAAAAAGAAAATTTTGGCAATCAGCATCATTCAAATCAAGGAATTAAATGATCAACTCTTAGGTTATGAACACAATTACAAATGCCAGTGTACTTGGTTAGCACTGGAACCTTTCTTCTTGCTTGAGCTGAAGCAACACAACCATCAATGGCCTTAGATGCTTATGCTTTTGTTTAAAAAAAAACTACTTTATTGGTGTGTATGATACACCATAAGTAACCACCTTCTTTAATGCCTTTGAATAAAGAAATTGTTTTATCTATGTTTCTACATTGTTGTTTCAGAAGTGATTAAGGGTTTGAAACCACTAGACATAAGATAGAACAATAAAGTAGGTCTATGATTTCATGTTTCTGGTGAGTCCATTCTCTTTGTGACCTGACTTTGCATGCCGCGGCGACCTTACATGTCAGATCCTCCTCATTTGTTCTCTGAACAACCCTCTTCTGACCTGTTTACCTTTCTGATATGATCCAAATTGAGTTCAAGTCCCTTCTAGGAAGGCTTCTCTATCCTATTACCCTATACTCATCTCTTCACTCTGCACCATTACCTTCAAATTCCTCACAAAGTCGTTGACCCCATCTTCACAAATATTGTCCTAACAATCACCCAAGAACTCATAGTAACATACGTTTATGTTTCACAACCACGAACGTCCCTCCATAAAATCCATCTCTAATTTAGGAAATACCATTATTACTCCCACAACACTTGCTGCAGAACAGAAAAATGCAGATTACAAAGAACTGTCCCCAACTTAGTAAAATAACCATCATCATCATCATCCAAGCCTTATCCCAACTATTGCAGGTCGGCTACACGAATCCTGTTATGTCATTTTGCTCTATCAAGGTCCATACCCTTAGTCAGACCCATAGGTTCAGGCTTCATGAAAAGATGTGGCAAAGTTTTACACTGGTTCCCTAACTAACACAACTCTCCTCCTTTATTTGGGTTGTGACAGCCATGACCGGCTTGGGACTAGTAATGGCGGAGTTAGTAAAATCCATAACAATCCACACAAAAAAATTTCAAATTTCATGATTACTCCCCCATTGATGGGATAGTTTGTTAACGTTCTCAAATTCCGATTTAGTTGGTTAAAATACCAAAACCCCATGGTTACTTAGTACTTAAATGATGTCAATTCCATTATAAATGAAGGAAGGAAGAAAGCAGTTAAGTACTATGAAAACCATGACCCCTCAACTATATGTAAAGGTAACTATACTGCTCATCATACCTCCTAAGAAAATAACCCAAGAGCTCTAGGAGAATAGAGCTCCACTGCTTCATGCTTTTCCAACCAATTATAATTGTAGTCATTGTTGTAAGCTTTTCCCTTGCATTTCCACATCCAAGTATTTTTCAGCTGCTATTTCATGAGGAAGATTTTTCACATGCAAGTAAGACTCAAGGACTATTAAGATGTTAATAGTTCGTGGGCTTTGCCATCGAGAGGATATTCATAACACCTGATGATTTATCGCTTTTCTTTCCATCACTCAATCACAAACAATTTCCTCAGAGAACTTAGTACAAAAAATAGCTGACCACCTAATAGGCTCTAATCAGTAAGAACTCACATTATGGCCGAGAGCCAAAGGATTCTAGCCACAAGCGCCAAGAGAACATCAACCAGGGTCCTCAATGCAAAGGAAAAGTAAAAAGATCAAGAATGCCACCCTTTTATAAATACAAAGATTTTTGCTGGCTATCTATACTTCCAGTAACCTTCGAAAGAGCAAACAAACACTTGTTCTCACCTCAACCTCATTTTCTTCCGGTTCATTTTCATATTATTGCCTAAATGGCTATCGGATACTCAGTGTAACTTTGGAAACCTGATAACATAAGATCCACTGATATTTCTGCCGAGGTTTCAAAAATGATTTGTTAGATTAGTACTAAATCTCAAACTGGTAAACATCATTAAAAAATAAGGTAGAATTTTGGGAAACATATCGACCGAATGGATTGAAGTGTTACGCCTTGTCCAAGTCAATTTGTGGTGGAAATGAGTACATTGTGGCCATCAGCCAAATGCATGTTAAGGAACAGATCACAGAATATAAGCAATACATTCAAACATACACTCCTAAAAAAAGTTTCATATAAACCCATAGCTTCAAAATGAAAGTTAGATATCCCCAATCCCTATAAATTCAACAATTGGGCTCCAATTTTAAGTGTAAAAAAACCTAATTTCTTACTAAACAATGCAGCTTCCCAAATAAAAAGACCAAAACATTAATACAAATCGATGAACAAATCTTTGATCCCAAACCCATTAATACTTCAATTCACAATCAAGATACAAGTAATGGGTACAAATATCCACACCAACTGATACATCATGTCAAATTGAAGAATTCCGACACATAAATAAGCGCCATATATATCTTATTAAATGAAAAATAACTTGAAGCGGATGGATCCAAAAGAATAAAATATACAATCTGAGAATGAGAAATTGAAAAGAATTGTCTTTAAAAAGGAATAAATTTGCCTCTGCTAAAAATTTAATGGAATGCAATCAGGCAGGGGTAAGAATGAGTTAAGATCTACCTTTTGATAGTTTCTTGCCGCCGCAGCCATGACATTTCCAAAGGCCAAACCGGACATTTTCGAACGAAATGCTTCTGGATCCATCTCTCTGTCTACAATTGCTCCGTAAAGCCTTTAAACCCCCGTCTCTCTCTCAGGGCAATTGATGAGTCTCTCTCTCAGGGCAATTGATGAGTCTCTCTCTCAGGGCAATTGATGAAGAAACCCTGTAAACTTACTCACTCTCTCTCTCTCTCTCTCTCTCAAACCCTCTAAAACTCCCACTCTCTCTCTCTCTCTCAGCCTATAACGCGATTGATCCATCCACTCACTCCCTTAAAGTATGAATGAACAAACTGCGCGCCCAATCCCGCATATGTAGAAATACGGGCCTCTTAATAAACAATTTTTTTGAGATGGATTTTAATACTTAATTTTTAAGTACATGTAATCTCTAAAATGGAGATTATGAATATGAAAAAAAAAATATATTTTAAAAATTAGAAATAATAATTATAGTAAGAAAACCTACTTGCATTCCTCTTTAACATGGATGTTTTATACTTTCTAGACCTTATATGTAGAAATGCGATCCAACCAGTATGAAACAATTTTCCTTTTGTGCGACCTTATATAAACTTTTTACTCGTCACCTAAAATGGACGAAACTTGAAATTGCTTCTAGCCATCGGATCTTAATTGAATGGTTAAAGGTATATATTATTACCTAAATTTTAATTTTTAAAAAAGTAGTATTAACCTTAAATTTTATGCATCTAGCGTGAAAATTATCATAAAACGTAAAAAAAGTAAAAATTATTTTTAAAATTTTAAACTGACCAAATTACCTTTATAATATTCAAGGTTAGTTTGATCATTTTAAGTTTTAGAAAATATTATTTTATATTAATTTTTGGGTCTTAATATGTAGTATGCAAGCCCAAAATTTAATCTTGATTCAATTTGTGTAAAAAAATACATTTTTAAGGCATCTAAAAAATCCAATAGACAAAATTGTTTTCAAGTTAAAAACTTTCCAATTGATCATATCGACCTCTAGATGTATGGATATTAAGAAAAAAAAATAATTTTGAATCCTCAAATTAGTGTATATTATAACAAGTTATCTAAACCATCTATCTTCAATATTTTCAAGTGTTTATAGATTTGCTTCATCTGTGGGACTTTTAAAATTTTAAAATTTATAATTATAGTTGAATATGGATTTTTTTAATGATTCTGACATCAAAACTAAATGTTTCAAAAAAAGTAAATTTAGAGACGCATTACTTGTACACTATAAGGTGGGCACCTTATAGAAACTTGGGAAAATTACATATATATCCTTTATACTTTACGTTATTATGGTTACACTTAATAGTTTCCGTTATTACTCATATGTCTGTTTTTTATCTTTCATAACGTATTTTTTTTAAAAAGACACTTTTACCCTTTTTTGGATGTTCAACATCCGAATTTATGAAAATTTCGAATGCTCAACATCCGAAAACAGCCAGCTAGTATTGTCACTTACAAAATTTCGGATGTTGAACATCCGAAATTTTGCGCGCCAAGACTTCCCGCGCACGGGCGGAAACTCATATATGTTTATTTTTATAAAGTTAGGAAAAACCGATCATTAAAAGAACATACCCCTTTTTACTGTCCTTAATACAATAACCCACAAAGTTGAAGAGATTGACTCACTAATTGGACGTGATTGGTACCGTTCTTACTCTTTCTTTATATGGTTGATTAATTAAATTTTATTTATGTATTATTATTTAGAATATATAATTTTGTTAATAACATTTGTTGTGTATTTGAGATTAATAAATGGAATTTGTTTAATATTGATGAAGTTGTTTTTTTATATAATTATTTGTTGTTTGTTTCATGTTGATACATTGTATTCTTTGTTTTGACGAAATAATTGTTAAACTTGTTTGTTTGTAATAAAATTTATTATTTATTTTGTGTTTATGTGAGTATTACTCACACACTATTTCAATCTATTATGTAATACTCAGATTTTATGAACCCTAAAGTAGTTAGAAATATCCCAATTTTTGGTAATTTTTTTGTAACACTAATTTTGCTATTCATTTAATACATGAGTATTGACGATCATTACTGACAATTTTAGTAGTACACTATTTCAATGTATTATGGAATACTCAGCTTTTATGAACCCTAAAGTAGTTAGAAATATACCAATTTTTGGTAATTTTTTTGTATTGCTTTTTAATAACAGTAACTTTGCTATTCATTTAATACAGTAGTATTGGCGATGGCTACTGAGGGAGTGCAGCGGACGTGTTATTTATAAAGGAGAAAAATTGAAGGTCACAAAGTATAATGGGAATAGTTCCTTGGAGGAACTAAAAAGTCATTTTGCAAATTTAACCAAGTGTGATCCAAACAAATTAGCTATTATATACCACAACACAAGTCTATCTAGTGGGCTTGATTTGATTAATATTAGTGATGATATAGATGTATCTATTATGTTGGGACGAGAATCTTCGAGAATTGTAGTATATATTGCCGAGGCACAACAAGAATTTGTTGCTGAGGGCCCATCTTCAAGGAATACGTATATCTACAATTTAATTTTCATCTATAAATTGCTTTATTTTAATCTTATATGTGTAGAAATTGTTGCTTTATCTTACACTCTATCTGTTGTCAACAGTCGGCATAACACTTGACCTGAGCAAGATCAAAACATTGGAGTGGTACCCAATCCTGAGCTCGCACCAGAGCGTGATATGCAGGACATTAAACTACTAGAGAGTCCATGTAGGTGAGTTGGTAACGAGGTTCAATTGAATGTTGGGCAATTTTTTGAAAATGTTAATGAATGTCGGCATCATCTAGTTGATTTTGCAATCCACAACAATTTTGTTTTGAAGTTTGACAAAAGTGAATTAGGACGGGTGTGGGCAAGTTGCAAGGCAGATGGATGCACACGACAAGTGCGGTGCTTACGAGTTGACAGCACCACATACTTTAAAGTGAAGTCTATAGTTAAGGGGCACACATGTAGTAGTCTAATGGAGACGGTCCATCAGCCACTAACTCGTAGTGATTGGGTGGCAAAAAAGATTAAAGACTGCTTTCTTGACCAACCAAAAATTAAATCAAAAGACATTGTAAAGGATGTTCAACGTGATCGCAGGGTCAGGCTTTCCTACATGCAAGCTTGGCAGGAAAAAGATGTTGCTAGAGAGATGATAGATGGATCACATGAATAACAATACCATGATCGCCCTCTATATATTGAGAAGATCAAAAGAACCAACCCGGGAACTGAAGTTCACATCCACACATATAAAGACATATTCAAACGACTATTCATTGCCTATCGTCCATGCATTATGGAGTTTGTCAATGGATGCAGGCCACTAATTGGTATTGATGGAACATTCCTAAAAGAAAAGTATCAAGGCATTTTATTGTGTGATATCACGGTAAATGCAAATAATGGGCTCTTTCCATTGGCATTTGCAGTGGTTGAGAAGGAGAATTACCAGAGTTGGTATTGGTTCTTAAGTATATTGAGTGAGCTCTTAAATGAGTACCCTAATCTGCCTACCTTAACCATTATATCAGATTGATAGAAAAGCCTGCCAGAAGCAATAGAAAAATACTTTCCAACCTGTTTTCCATCATTTTGCGTGCAACATATGTGAGAGAACTTCAAGGGCTTTATGAAGAGGTCAGCAAATACTGAAGTATTGCTGATGCTGTTTTGGAAGGCTGCTCGTAAAGCGACCATTGGTGGGTTTGAAAAAATAATGTTTGATATATAGTGTGCCGACCTAGAAGCATATGATTGGATTAAGAATATTCCACCCAAATTTTGGGCAGATGCCTATTTTTCAGGGTCTAGATACGGTCATCTTACATCAAACATGGCCGAGTCTTTCAATACTTGGATTTTATTGGCTCGAGAAAAGCTAATCATTACAATGTGTGAAGAAATAAGGATACAGTTGATGACCAGGTTTGAAGAGAATAGGGAATTAGGTAATACTTGGAGCGACATGCTAGTACCGAAGTCTCAAGAATTACTTGACATGCGAAAGATGAAAGCTCGATTTTTGTACAAAGTTAGATCCGCCGTGGATACGCTTTTTGAGATCCGCTATCTTAGAATGAAGAACGCTATCGATTTAATGCAGTGGACATGCAGTTATAAAAAATGGCAACTCAGTGGCAGTCCGTGTGCCCATGCTATTGAGGCCATTAACCATATGCATATAGTTCCTACTGTGTAGTGCCTTAAGTATTTTACAGTGGGATACTTTAGAAGGCCATTTGAAACTCCCTTTGCACCTGTCCCAGATGATATTGAGTTGACAGGTATTTACAACCGGACAGTGTTGCCACCAAGGACTATACGCCTTCCCGGTAGGCAAAAAGAGCAACGAAGAATATCCGAGACGGAACATCTGATCACCAGGCCTTTGAAGTGCGAATGATGCGGCGCAGAGGGTCATAATAGGAGGACATACAGAGAACCGATAGAGTGAACTTGATGTTAATATTGTATTCTTGTATGAAATTATGATTTTTATAAATTAATGAATTGAGTGAATATTGTATTTTTGTTGTCAAATTTGTGTCAGAGCAATTAGAATTCTTTGTTGTCATAAATCTTCTAATGGACGAGTTTGCCAATCTTTGTGTCGAAATAGATGATTTCAATATTGGAAATCTTTGTGATAGCCTTAAAATAAGAAAAATGAAATTCATATCCATACATCCAGGAATGAGTTATTCTCATGTCCATGCATATAAAAATGATGTCCATTTTTTTATCATGTCAATGCATCTTGATGTCCATGATCAATGTGATGTCTAAATAATTTCAAATGTTCAACATCCGAAATTGACATATTTTCGGATTTTCAACATCCGAAAATGGTACTGTGAAAATCCAAGAAGGTCATGGATTTTCACAATGAGTTTTCAGATGTTCAACATCCGAAAAAATAATATTTTCGGTTGTTGAACATCTGAAAACTTATTGTGAGATCTTCACAGTGAGTTTTCGAATGTTGAACATCCAAAAATATGATATTTTCGGATGTTGAACATATAAAAACTCACTGTGTTCCTAGATTTTCACAGTGAACATCCGAAATTGTTTATTCTATCACATTGATCATGGACATCAAGATGCATTAACATGATAAAAAAATAGACATCATTTCTGGATGCATGGACATGAGAATAACTCATTTCTGGATGTATCGATATGAATTTTATTTTCTTATTTTAAGGCTATCACAATTGTTCTCAT